CAGTGGCGTGGCGTGAATTGCGATGTATCGATTGTTATGCCATTTAAACCAATGGAAAAGGATCGATAAACAGGGTGTTCGCAACGAACACCTTAATAATCGATTCTTTGCCATAGGTTTAAATGGCACAACAATCGATACATCGCAATTCACGCCACGCCACTGGCACGCAGGACGCAGGGCCCGCTAGGGGCCCAGCCAGTCGGCAACGCTGTATTTTTCTCCATTGAAAGCCATTAAAAATATCGATTTTGGGCAAGGAAAGCTGTCTCACCGAGAATCGATTTTTCACATGCGTTTAAATGGAGGGGAAAGTGTTGCCAAATCTCAAGAATCGCCACCGGGACAAGCCTGTTCTTGCCATTGGCGTATCCAGCAAATTGGCAACATTGATTTTCTCCATTGAAACCCATAGAAATGTTATATGTGCGGACCGCGCTGTGTTTGGCGCAATGCGTGAAGTAAACCTACAGCCTTGTAGGCGCTATGCGTTTCACGCCAACCGCTGCTGACCGCACAGGGACCGCGCTACGTTTGACGCAATGTGTGAAGTATTCATGGAGTCTGGTAGGCGCTAATATGTTTTTCATCAGACCGGCGCGCCGAGGGCTTTTCCTTTCAATCTCAAGTCCTCGTCATTATTGCTCTCTGCCCGCGCCGTGCCGCTCCAGGCCAATTTGCGTGTATGGTTTCTCTCTCAACTAGACTAACGAAAGGCGCTGTCTCTTGTATTACCGAAAGACGAACAAATTAGAAATTACTATCTTTAACTCTCAGAAAATGAGAGATTTTTTCGCCTTTTCTCGTTTGTAATTTTTTTTTCTGAATCAGATTTTTTTCTTGATACCTACATTTGAAAAAAGTACAACATTTGCCGCCCCCTAGATTTGCCACCATGGGCCGTGGCCCATGTGGCCACCCCCTAAATCCGGCCCTGCACTTACTTGATATCCATTGAAAACTTTGAAAACTAATAATAAAATTCTTCAAGAGAATGAGGTTTATTTGAAATGTATCACATCGCATTTTGAAAAAAATAAGTGAGGAGTGGTCATAAATTTAACTTGTCGTACATTATTTCCTCTTAAGATTTTTAAGGCGAAAAACAAATTTTTTGAACATGAAAATAGTCGTTAAACTTCGTCCTAAAAATTGAGTTTCATGTAGGAATTTGTACACCTTTATCAGCGAAGAGAGGGTTAAAAGTGGCATCCATAAGCCATAACAAAAACGATGAAACATTCTAACGGGCGTTTGGAACAAGGAGCGCACATTTGAATTACGCGCCAGATATTCATGCTCGGATCCATTCGGCGGGGTTTCTTTTTGGCGGGCTGTAGTTCCGCGTCACTCCCGACGCACAGTGGATGGAGTCAAGGTAGAAGTCGGACATGAAATTTTTGACGAAAATTTTAAAATTGTACGTTTATCTCGTTACAGTTTTAATTGTACGGGGTAATTTTTATGAGAATGCCGATTAAACTACATTTAAAACGTCACAATTTCATATTCATAAAGATATACGCTTTTAAAGTTTTTAAATCATGTCCGAACTCTGCCATGAACTCGATCAACTTTGCGACGGTGCTTCTAGATACCTAGACTGGTGGCGAACGATTTCAAGCGCGGTGAGCCGGCGCAGCTAGTTTTCAGTTTTGTCCCTAAAAAAAGAAAATTCATTTTTCAGAAAAAATATACTCAGTTGCAGGACTAATTACTACTCAAAATTTCCAATGATGGCTCATTAGAAGAACTGCTCAAATGTCTTGGTTATATGGATAGCTTTTTGCAAAGAGGAACCAAGATCATTCCAATGTTGCTAAGATTGTGCACCTTAAATTCTTTGCAATGAAATTACTGAAATCTTGCAAAAAATTAAATTTACAAGAGTAATTTTCGTCTTGGATTAATAATTTATTGGGAGTAAAGATAAAACTTGTTTAGAAGATCAGTTAATATTTGCAAGGTGAAAAAAGTTCCACAATTAGCAACAGTGGAATGCTTTTGGTTCCTTTTTGTAAAATGCAATCCATATGTTATGATGTATGTTATAAGTTACATAATGAGTATCTAGCTCGTTGAATTGCAAAAAGAGAACAACTTCGTCCAGGATGCATTGCTGTGGAAACAAAAATAGGTATTTTCCAGATGTTTCCGAACTTACCCATTTTCAACCCAAAACGTTCCGAAAATATTTTAGTTTCTACAGCCATTTATCCCGAACGAAGTCATGGGCACCGCTGATATTTTTAATTAGTTAGTCGTTTGTAATCTAAAATTGGTTGCACAAATTTGTAAATGCCACAGTAAAAGGACGGCTGCGAGAACTAGGAGAATAATTCCTTAATGACTTTCATCTCTACCTGCAGAAACATAGGATAGGAAGATAATGCTGTATCAGATGAACGAAACAAGAACTTATGAAGAAGTTGAATTTATTTTTAACAATGGAACAAATGAATGGATCACATAAATTAAGCCGATTGAACCATCCTCAACAATTTTATCACACAAATTGACAGAATAAACACAAAAGGAGAGAAACATCAATGTTTAAAGTACATACAGCTTAAAAGATTTACAGTTAAATGGAAACAGAGATAATCATTGTACCAAAATTTACCCTATTAAAAATATAACAGTGCTAAAAACTTTAAAAAAATGACAAATTGGAAGGTACAAAAAATCAATTCAAGAGGAAATAGTGAAGAAAGATTGAGAAAGTACAATCAATTGGTAAAGTAGAATGACTTATTACATGAACTGAATTCCCACTAAAATTTTAGAGACAAGGACACACAAAGTAGTTGGTCAATAATTATCTTTGTATCAAGATTTTTAAAATCAATAGGAAATCGACAGGAGCAAAATAGTCACTTCATAATATCTCATCTGAAAACAAGTGCTAAAATTATTAGACGGTAAATCATATCTTCGTAGACTTGAAAATTGGAACAGCAAGAAACATAGAGACAATTTCGATACAGCAGTGTAAGTTTAGGTCGATCATTGATAAGTTAGGGTGGGAAGTCAAAAACCTGTTTCAAAATTCCCTGACTCATCACCGTAAATCGACAAAACTTTGTGTCACACAAAGAGTCTCTGCTTTATCAGATTAGTTTTGAAGTTTCTCAGGCTCTAAGCGAGTTACAAGATCAGATAAAACAGTATTCACGTGGATGATAGTATTTTCAGGGACTGCATTTTCTTGGGCTGCATTTAAAAACTGTTGAAGAACGGAGATATTGCTTGCCATCTGTCCGAGAATATTTTCTATTTTTCCAGAGGGGTTGGATGAGGTCTCAACAGCACTCTCGGAATCACTATGGAGTTCTTCACCATTGTATTCAGTTTCAAAAAAGTAAAAACTTTCTTCAGAGGGAACAAAAGGGTCACCTCTAGTGAGATAAGACTGAAGTTTATGAATGTGCTTGCACAAAGGATGGTGGTCGGAGCAGCTGCATACGAAAATATGGGAACATAGGCCATGGCACTTTGCTTCAGTGCACTTAGAAGAACACATTTCAAGATTACATAACTCCTTGCAGCGTTCTATATAACATATTTCACAACTTTTGGTATCAACAGACTTTATTTCCCAGAGCCTGTCTTCAATTTGCTCTACGATCATATTGTCTTTCATTAAAAGGCCTCGTTTGTGTCTTTCTAGAATATCTTGATGTTGAACAGAAAAGCCGACATCAGCTTCCTTAAGCCGAGTGCAGTGGTCATCCCTTTCAATATCGTACAGAATAAGAATGAGGTCATCTAGTCTCTTATTCACTTTACGCTTGAGGTACTCAGTTTTCAATCTATTATGAAAGGAGTCAAGATATCCTATTGTATTTACTTCTCCATGAGGGAAGTTCCTGTGACACCTCGACCACTTTTCTACTCTTTTCCAATACTGGTCCTCTAAGTATGACATAAAGTCGGAGGTAGCCGGATTATTTCCGTACTTGCTTAGGAAATCATCTTTTAACTTAAAAAATGAACTCTTACTCGCAGTATTTATTATGACTTTAATTTCGGACAACATTGTGTTGAATAAATCAAGAGGGACTTTGGCTCTTAGGTTTTCTTCAAGGTTCTTGAGGACATGCCATACACACAATATATGCTTTATTTCCTGAGAAAACCCTGCATTTGCAGCATTTATCAAAGTAGGATCATCATCAGTTATCACAAAGCTCAGTGGTACTTCATTATTTAGCCTAGCATCTAAAGTTTGAAAAAAAAACTTGATTGTATTAGCATCAGACTTGCTAGTAATTAGATGGGCAACCGGCCAGCCACGACGATTATCGTCGACGACCATTACAGTAAACAGTTCGTATTCGCATTGATTGGTCCCATGAGTCACACCAACAATTATTATTTTGGAACCATATCTTTTCATTAGATCTAACTGTCTGTCTGTTTGGAAGGCAAACATAAATAAATCTTCAGAATTAGAAAGCTCATCAATTTCAGCAGGTCCATGAACAACTTTCTTTCCACATGGCTTATAAATTAAAAGAGAATTATCTTTTGCAATGATCTCATGGGCTAGCAAAAAAACAGATTCGACATCGTCCTGATGAAGCCGACATTTCATACGCCTCCTTCGTTCTCGTTCTAAAATTAATTTTTTTTGAAGAATACTAGCTTTTGTGTCATGCACACCAAGATTATTTTTTGGGAGGAAGCGCTCTTTTGTGATCTGATGGACAACTGTTGGTGGTATGTTTTCTGCAAGTCTTTCATTGATGTATGTAGACATTGCAGCCGGTAGGGGGTGATGTAGCGTATCTTTCGGTTTGCAAACGTGGCTATGAGTCGGGTAATAATCTACAATAACAGATTTGTTCTGAGACACTGTAACTTTAATTTTTGCGATACAATAATGTCCTACTTTTACTCTTCCTTTGTTGCGGCATTTACTTGAGACTGGTGAAAGCTTTTTATGCGACTTTTGCGGGCCATCATGTTGGCAGTAGTAATGTTTCACCAACTTTGATGCCTGACCTGTTCGGGCAGAAAAGTACGAAAATGTGCTTTCTTCTTCCTTTTCCTTCCACGCTTTAAATTCATCAATAGATGCAAAAGTTTTAGTTACCTTGGGACGGATGGTGATTTCATCTTTATGAACTGATGACATATGATGAATCAGTTGGGTTTTGAAGAAGAATTTTAAGAGACAACCCTTTACGAGGCAAGGGGTTTTGTTTCTCCGGTGTTGAGATTCTGAAGTTCCAGGTGAACAAGTCTTCAAATGAGTGGTTAAATTTTGTTTTAAATTGAACGATGAATTACAATGAGCACATGAAAATGTGGGTGGACGTCTATCGGCATTGGCACTGCAATAACCTTCATGACGATTACGGCTTCTTTTAAGAGAAAAATTAGATCTACAAAACTTACAAATAAAAGAATTGGTGTTGAGTTTTTTTGAAGCTTTATCATCATTAGTTAAAATAGATCTACGAGGTGGTTTACGAGGTGGTGGCTGCTTCCGTAATTTTTTCTTGTTTGGCTGAGATATGTTATTGGACAAATCGCTTTCACTGAGGCCCTCCATCACGGCAAAGTATACACCTGCAAACCAAAGAGAATGTGTGAGGCTGAGCATTTCAGAAAGGTAAAATAGAGACCTATTGTATAAATTATCTGTTTTGCCTTTAACCTGCAGCTTAATTTATTTGCTTGCCCTCAATCTGTACTGCGGCATGATTTTGACATTGGAGGGGTGAGACAGAAAGTACTTATAGACAAACATGTGTTTGCATTGGGCAACTATCTATAGCAATGGACTTCTTAAAAATTTTGTAACATGCATTTTATTGCCAAATTTCGCTGGCTAAGCTGTATATAACATAGTTATTGATTACAAAAAAAAAAAAAAAAAAAAAAAAAAAAAAAAAACTGAGTTATAAGCCAAAATAAACAAGTAATAACTCAAATTACATGTAGATGAGAAATAGTATATGTATTTTTTCTCATCTACATGTAGTTTGAAATATTACTTGTTCATTTTGGTTTGTAGCTTGTTTTTTTTTAAATCAATAACTATGTTTTGTAACATGCTTGTAACCCACTTCTTGATCCCCTTAAAATTAATAATGTTGGTTGAAAAATATGAAAAAAAAAACTCACACCGGCACAATTATTTCTACACTCCTGGAAGGACACAGTAAGCAAACAGCTAACAGGACCCTACCTGCACTACAGCTGTTGCTGCAAAACAGTAGAGCACTTAGGTAAAGATAAGATATCGTCACCTTCCAGGCAAAGTATCACAAGCGCCATGCGACGTTTAAAAGTTTCCACCGCTATTTTATTTTTTTACAGAGAAATAGTTGGTTGTAGTTGTCCGAAAATTTCACTGAATTTTTTTTTGTGCTGCCCATAAAATTCAGTGAAATTTTCGAACAGATTCAACCAATAATTTCTATGTAAAAAAATAAAATGGCGGTGAAAATTTTTAAACGTCGCATGGCGCTTGTGATACTTTGCCTGGAAGGTGACGATATTGTACTATTTCTTTGGGAGGAGGGGGGGAGGTAAGTTCTCTATTTTTGATTTGGTATTAACTGGGTAAAAGAAACCTGAGAGAAACCGGACAAATAAGATGAAATTTTACCAAAATTTACTTATTTTCTATCAGAAAGTTTCACAGGCGTTATGTCAGACAACTACAGTTTGGTTTGGCATAGGTAATGACTGGGTAACCAGTTTCGTTCAAATCATCTGTTGTGAGAATCCAGCATAATCTCTCTCTCCTGCTCCATTCACCAACAATAACCGACGACTGAGATCTATTTCTGTGGAGGAATCAAAGGTTCCCTGGCGAGATAATACTCCAACTTCAAGGTGTCTGACAACCTGAGAAATAATTGAGACAAAAATTTCTACAGTATTCTGATGATATAAATTAGGGCTGTGCGAGTGTTCGAATTTCAAGTCGAGTCGAGCCCAGTACCGAGCACTTGACTTAGCTCGAGTGCCGATAACACAAGTTTTTTCGATTTTTTTGAGCTCTTCTGAGCTGGAAACACCAAAAGAGTCTAACTCTTAATACTTTAATCATTCTATTATTATTTTTGGTTTTTCAATCATTTTTTATTGTAAAATCACAAGATAAAACTCAAAATTACTTGAACTCAACTCCAACTCAAGTCAGCTTGAGGATCATTTTAGAATCTCGAAAAAATTCAAACTTGGTTTAAAATGGTGGAGAAATACTTGAACTCTGTTCGAACCCGAAAAACTAGGCTTGCACAGCCCTGATGAAATACCTAGCCCACCAGTGATGTGACGCCTACATAAAACTTCTTCTGATTTATTTCTGCAATCAATACAAAAATAAGTGCTATTGGTATTAAAATTTATACTTCTGTTTGGCTCAGAAACAGTAGAGTTCTCAGATCTTTGACGTTTTTTGAGAGCAACCGGCTCTTCAAATAATAAACTCTTCTCGCACTTCAAAGGGAGATGACTAAAACAATTTATGCCTTTTATCTGTTGGTTAAAAAAAAAAATACCTGGGGAGACTTGGAAACATAGTAATAATCCAACATTGTTTCCGTCAAGGTATAATTTTAATAAAATTTACGACCACTTCCACTAATTGAGTTATTATAAGGAAGCACGATTATCAACTATGCTTAATTTCTTTATAAACATATTCCTTGATATGTTTAAATACATTCCTTGTTGAAAGTTGCCTTCCACGATATAATTAATACTCTTAGAGAGTCAGTGTTTTTGGCCAATTCAAGATGAGTAGTAGTGGCAAGGGGCTTTGTATAGAAACAGGCTCTCAAATGTGATGACATCGAAAATTCAAGATGTCAACAAGTGGCGACTAATTTAGCAAGACCTCTAGAGCGGATTTGTTGTATGTTGAGACGAAAGTCAAGTATTGTTTAGGTCACCTCTCATCAGTGGTGCTATCTGACTGCATGTATTAACCTGATTAAGAGGTGCTGATTCAGAGGTAATCAGAGATTGACATTTGTCTCAACATACGATGCGTCCATTCTACTTTGGTTATCATATTAGGTATGCATTAAGTAAGCAGAAAAAATTGTGATTCAATAAAAAAATTCAACCACTTGTGGAGTTGAATAAGAAATTTTATAAGTAAATACCTTGTGCATGAGATGATAAAAGAAGAAATCTTCAGGAAGACTGATAATGGACTATTTAGCAGCAATCTGTACTCTACATTTTCAATAAGAATAAACTGTTCCATCCACTTTGTCCTTTTCGCTTACCACAAACTGAGTTTGAGCCAACCAACTGAGAACCTGAGAAGAAGAGAAGATGTGAAATTATAAGCAACAGAGGCAATTCATGCTACTTATCGCTACGCACATACACGAGGAACCACAAAAGGCCAGTGTCCTATGAAAGCACCGATCAGTTGAAAAGTTGGATTCTCATCCATTTGGCTTGACTTGAAAGCCGATGGTCAAAAATAAAATTTGATAAACCGAATTAGGGATGCTAAACAGAAAGGAATTAACCCACATATTCAAAGCTATTTAGCTAGGATACTTATTAATTGATGGGTTCATGCAGTGTAGGTAAATGTTGCGTCTCAGATCAGAATCCAACCTTTATCTCCGCAGAACAGGATCCAAGTTTAGGAGTTCATTCACGCTATTAGGACTCAGTTCTCAAAATCAGGTCATTGGACGATTCCTGCTTCATAAAAGTTATTCAAAACGGTTGGTAGATTTAAAATGCTGAATAGCGAATAGCCATCAGACGATAGAGTTGTGAACCATCCATGGGTACTTAATTTGTAGATAAGATTAATGAGCCTGAAATCATGGTACATACTTCAGCTGAGCACTAACCTTTGAATTGATGACTAGCATTTCAAAAATTCCAATTTCGGCACAAATTAGTGGCAAAAAAAGTAACATTTCATCATTACATTCTCGAAATTCAAACTCCGAAACAAGAATACCGAGACAACAAAAATGTAAACAAACCTGGATTCCACGTTTAGTTATTCGTGTGTTTCCGCCCGGCGCCCGCCACAGATCAGTCAAATTGGTTCAAATTGCTACATTTTCCCAGTTATTCCACTTTTCGAACAAAAGGAATCTTAACGGCAAATTCTGAACCAGACGTTTTGATTGGTCCAGAGCGGTTCATTTCATTTATTCCGAGTTGAACCAAAATAAGCGGGAATTTCAAATAATTCCGGATATCCTGTTAACCAATTCGTTTCCGTTTCCGGTAAAACAATGTTGACAAATTTACGAACACTCGTTGGGTAAAACTGACAACACTGTTATACCGGAAACGGAAACGATTTGGCAAACAGGATATCCGGAATTTGTAAAACTGACAACACTGCTACTGAAAACCAACAAATTTGGAATTATTTGAAATTCCCGCTTATTTTGGTTCAACTCGGAATAAATGGAATGAACCGCTCTAGACCAATCAAACAAAGGGAACAATGAACAAGACCCGCTAGTTTCCGTCTCTTTCCGTCAGCTTTCGCTAGCGATCGGTTTGTTTACATTACAATGCCGCAAATTTGAAATTTGAATTTGAGAAATGAAATGTGAAGTCTCATGTGCTTGTGAGTATTTTTTGTGTGTTTCCCTAATAAAGTTATATCCTGCCTCAAATTATCCAGGTTTGAGTATTCTTCGTCCCCTCAAACGTTTCGTACTTCTTGATTGTGAAAATCTTTCATTGTTCTTCTTTTACTGACGGAATACATAGACTCGATACTTGTCGAAGAAACGTTCCCAAAATCGTTTCCATGCACTCTTCACTCTTACATGGAGCTGCTCATGACTTTTAGAGTATCTTTCCGTGATCAAATCAAGAATGGATGTCATCAAACGTTTTGATGCTAAGCTGTGTCGGTTCTCTCTTTGCAATAGATATTTCGCCTACTCTGGATCGGACACGCTGTTTGTAGAAGATATCTCGACAGGCAAGTCGAGACAATACAAATGCCATCACACTATTGAAGCAAGTACCTTTTATTATGCACTTAAATTTAAGTAATTTTTCTCTCAAAATTTTGCCCAGCCTTTTTTCCAGGCAAGGTTGACAAGCGATAATGGTCGCAGAGGCTGAATGAGCGAAACCTAAGACAGTGGAGCATGTAAGAATAGATGGGCAGTTGTGGAAACTATTCCTTTAAGGCAGTTATATGGATTAGATTATGTCAAATATGCATCAATATTTCATGATTGTAGAGAGCGCAGAGAAGCGCACTTCATTGGCTCTAAAGAATAAGAAGAACCTGGTTTGCCCAGCTAAAGGTCAAAAATGTAAGAACCCTCACCAGATTAGTTAGCAATTGCTTATTTTGATAGCAAGCCAATTCTCATATCTGCAGGTGGTGGCATCTTTGTCCGTCATTTATCCCAAATCGGTAGTAGATGGCAGCAGCTTAGCCGTTTGCAAATGGTTTTAAGTCAGTTCTACACTTATCTGATGCGAGCTCTACCTTTTTAGGACGTTTTCTTACCTGTGCTGACATCTATTTTATCAGAAAAAAATTATGGTAGATCACTGTCAACCATTTTCCCAAAAAATTTATTGCGGGTGCATGAAAGATGACAAAGTATAGGAAACCGTATGGAATAAAGTTGGTTGGTCTCCCTGTGAGAGTTCATGTTAAAATATTCTTGCTTTGTCTGATGGAGATGACAGTGTTCGATTTCTATCATTAATATGCAAAGGGTCAAATTAGTTGTCAAACCATCTTTGCTCCACATTGACTGATTGCAGCAATGTTCATTCAGTGATTCAAAAGCTGGTAAAACTGGAATTGGATCATTTGCATTCAATCTAGTTTACAATCCTAGAGGTACCTTATAGCCTTGTTTTTACTGGCATGGTCAGTGTTTTTTGTAGCATGGGAAGCTAAACTTATGCCTACTGATTTAAAAGATTCTTTAAAAGGAGAAAACAAAATTTGTCATCTAATTTTTAGATTTGAAGTAGCCATGTACTTATTTAATAGTTCTGTTGACTTCATTGCAGGACATAGCATGGTCACCTGATTCAGAGTTCATCTGCTGCGGTCAGTATAAAAATGGGACAGTGCAAATTTTTTCTCTCTGTGCACCCCTGTGGAGATTCAACCTCGAAAGCGGTCAAGATAGCATTGCTGACGGAATATGGAGCCCTGATAGCCGACATTTTCTCACAACTGCCCAATTCATGGTAGGCACTTGTTCTTGACTCCCCTCTATACGATTTTATGTGATGCAGCTGGGGTGAATGGCTAAGGGTCAATTTTTTTAGTTTTTTGCGCCTACTGAAGCAAAATCAACCCTTCAAAGCTGTGGTATAGTTAATTGTTTTTTTCAGAGGTCAAAACCTAGGTACTTTCCTCAAATAGAGAATTTTTTCTGTGCTGTATCCAAAATCTTATTTATGTTTCTTTCGATTTTCAGGAATACATCACTATTTGGTCTCTAGTGAACAAAACAGCTTGTTACATTCAGTTGCTGAAGCCCATCGCCCACCCAGCCATCAAATTTAGTCCTGATGGAAAATATTTAGCATTACTGGAAGCTGAGGGCACGGAGGACTTTCTATCAGTTTTTCACTCTTCGTCATGGGAAAAATTGTGTGTAAGTTTTTATCATCATTATTTGATCAACGGTGAAGCTACAAATGCAGACTGTGTTTGCAGTGCTTTAAAATCTCCGCTCCATGTTATTTTGTTAATAATATAATTAATGGAGAACAAACCAATGCTATCACTTGAAATTTTCACAAAATATTCTTTGCACCTAAAAGAAAAATCAGGGAAGTATTCAAGAAATGACATCGAGTATTTTCCCATTCAAGATTTGAAGGATGACAGGAAGTCTGCAACATTGCAAACAAAGATAAGCGTACCTGCAGTTTCATTGTCGCATGGTGGATTGTATCATAGGGCAAGCTGGTCATGACGTCTTGCTTGTCTTGGCTTCCTCACCCACGTAGTGGTTTAAGTCATAAAACATATCAAGCTTCATGTTTTTTATGAATTTTTTGTTGCAGATTTCATTTTTCATGACAGTTTTACTGATTATTGCATTTAAATAAGTCTTCTAACACAGTTTCGGGGAAAAGTTGATTATTTTGTTTAACAAACAGATTAGTTTGCATATTTTAAGCGCATTTCATAACTTGTCAGTTTTTCAGGGAATTTGTTGTCCATAAACTTGTAAAAATTAAGTGAAAAATGCCTATAAAAGGTCTAGTGATCATCTAATTCATACACGCTATTAAAAGAGAAAAAAATTATTGTGACTCTACAGAGAGAAGAGAAAAAGCTCCCTCATTTCTAAAGGGGTTCCTCTCTAGCTTTTTTTTAATCAAAGTAAACAATAAGGGGGATGGACAAGGGAGAAAAATACGGAACATCAATACCAAGCCTTCCTTATTAAAACTCCAGCAGGTCACCATTGTGAGTGAGTTTGCATAATTACAATTAGTTATCTAATTGAGAACCCTCAACTTAACTTTTGCTGCTGAAGCTTAAGTGACCTTACTTTTCCTCATTACCATCCAATTTTCCGAAGAGATTAAACTTTCCCGAAAAAAAATTCAGGTGCTAAATCACTTGAGTTTTTTATGTACCCGAAAAAGTTTCATAGTAGTGAGGATAATGTGCATATATTTTTGGGATGTATTCAATGGATTTTTTGTGTAGAAAGCTTTGTTCGAACTTTGAGCTGTTGTTTCTTATTTTCTAGACATTCAAGTGCTCCAAATACATAAACTCATCGGGTGGGCTTGCCTGGTGCCCAGATAGCGACAAAATCTGTGTGTGGGATAGTCAGCTGAATTGCTGCCGAATTCTTGTTTGCAAGGTGTCGTCGCAATCTGTTATTGCCTCCTATGCAGAGCCTACAATTAACAAACCAGCAGGGATTCACTCAGCCTCGTGGTCTCCGTCAGGACAGCTTTTACTTCTAGCATCTTACGATAATAAGGTGAGCATTGCAAGTCAACTTATTGTCAGAATGTGGTGGGACAAGAACCCTCAAAAATTTTGGATAATCCTGTTTTACATGTTGTCAAGGTTGCTGTGGTCAGGGAATACTGGGAAAGCTGGCAAATGTCAGGGATAATGACAAAAGTGTTAGGGAAAAATTATTAATTTAACTTTATCTGCTTTTTAGAATGAGTTTGACGTTACAACAAATTTTGATTGAAAATCATTTCTAATCATAACTTTTTAACCACCTGGTGTGTCTTCAATGGTCAGGGAATTTCACTCAAATATGTCAGGGGAATCAGGAAAATGTCAGGGAATTTCATTCTCTAAAATTCGTGGCAACCCTGTGCAATGAATTCCTAGTCTCCTATTCGCTTCAGATTTTCTAAGCTTTTGCCTTCAGAATTTCGCTGCATACTTTACTTACGGCTCCCATGACCAAAATTCCTCTAAGATTATCGTAATCTTGCCTATAATCTCTCTTATGAATCGCAGTAACCTAAGATTCCTTTATTCCATTGGAATGGCAGGCCCATGCAAATGGTCTTGTATCAAACTTCATAGGTGTTCTCTGTGTCTAGGTAGTTTGGAACACTTCGTTAAAAATCTGAAACCCCATTTTTGCTGAAATCAATTCAAATATGTAACCCAAAAAAAAAATGTTAGTGTAAAAAGTTTGCAAGAATCTCATGTTGCCTCATACCCTGCTTTCATGTTTAAGGCTTTTGTAGCAAATTTTGTGTAAAATTCTCTTTCAGAATGATTTTTCCAAAATTTTGTATTGTGAAGGAGTTCTCTCATATCGATGGTGAAACTGCAAAATCTTGTTGGCATCGTTTCAAAACCTATGCTTCTATTTTATTTTCTTAAGGGGAACAAATCGATGTAACAGCTCAAAATTTTTCCAGAATATTCTTCACTCATAGTAAAATTATCAAGTGAGTTTTCGAAACACGACATTAAGCAGTGCTCCATTTAAAAACTGAAGAATGACAGGAAGTCTGCTCTTTTAGAAACCAAGATAAATGTTTTTGAAGTTTCACAGTCAACATTAAAGGTAACGCTGTTTGTAAGATTTTGTTCATGTTCATTGCAGATTCGTGTGCTGAATAATATCACTTGGACGTCCATCTCTGAATTTGATTGTGGTCAAAGAGTCACTGGACGGGATAATTTTATTTACACCCAAGTCATAAGTAAACCCTCTCCAATGGTTTCCAACAATTCCACTCATATCAAAGCATCATGTAAGATTTTTCACCTTCCTCTCTCATATGCATCCCCTTTAATTAATTGCAATAAACTCCATTCCAAACTGAGCTCAAAGTCTGTGTGAAGATGTGGAGCCTTTTGTTTTTAATTGTTTGTGATTTGGCGCGTACCTCATTGGCTGATAGGAGAAGATGAAGAAAGAGGAGCTTGTAGATCTGTCACATTTTTCTATCTGATAATATGTGCAAAACTACCAAAAGATGCACTATTCAGACCCGACTTGACATTGGCACCCAGAAAGTTAGATTTAGAAAGCTCGTTTTAATCAGACGATGGTAAAAAAGATCATATCAAGAAATCTAGAAATTTAGCCAGCGCAAAGTTTCTTAGTATTCTATGCCCAGTTGTTATGATGTCATTCCTCAGTAATGGGAAATAATTCTCATCAAATTCGACAAACTTTTAAAGTTGAGTAGTTGAAAATTTGATCAATTCAACCCCAAGAACTAAAATTAGTCAAACATGTGATCAATTTAAACTGATGAATTATACTCATTTGAGGCGGTTTTTATCAAAAATATTAAAGTTAAATCTGGTTTAAATGATTCTATAGAATACGCAGAGCAGACTGTGGATGGAAAATAAAAATTCGAAAGCTTTAGCCCAAAACCACATTTTGGCTCCTCGGAACATTTTAAATTCAGAAAATTACATGGAGTTAATTTTTGCAAATTATATCATACTTGATAGTAACAGGCTTTACAGCTTATCCCTCTTTTGTATTTTTATCTTATCATGTAACCACTTTTTTAACAATACCTCTCGTTTGTGCTCATTTCATGCCTTAGTTCTTGATAGTTATAATTTAAATTCTTCATTTTATTTCAGTTAAGATTGTGGAAGATCGACCTGTGTCAATTAAATCTGGGATGAAGAAATTCGGGTATGATCTAAAGTGGTGTCATAACGGTAAATACTTGGCAGTCTTTAATTTCAGATTTGATCATGCTGTTCGAATCTGGAACATGGAGAACCTCTCTCTTCACTCTATGATTCTCCTTGACTTTCCAATCTCAGGTTAGTATGTTTTGAGACATCTCTAAGCTTGCTCTTTCAATCATTATATTTACTTTTATAGGACGTCTATACAGGCCTGGAAAACCTGAAAAACCGGGAATTTTTATATGTCAGGGAAATCAGAAAATTTTATCTAAGAGACTGGAATTTTAAAAAATTTTGAAATTTGAAACCTCAAAATTATCAGCACTGTCTACACAATTAAACAGAGTCTCAATCTGGTTTGGGGCTCAATGCTGGGAGTTACACTATAAACAGTAAAGAGTGGATTTAGTTTTAATAAGAAATTGCAATTTTATAGAATTAAACGGTTGAAATCTACAAGAAAAGGTTCACATGTTTTGTAATTTGGAGTGAGATAAGTGCCAAGAATTGCTCATTTTCAGTTCTACATGTGTAAATTGTTTGCTTTTAATCGTTTGCCTGATTTAATCATTTACTGGTTTGAAACATCGATTCAAATTTTAAATAGACTCCGAAAAATTGATGAAATTTTTTCAATTTTTTTTCCAATCATTCGATGTATCAAAGGAATCGATTTGAAATCGCCAGCCCTACTGAGCACCATGAACTTTTCAAATCAAACTTTCTATTTACTACTTTCTAAATAAGCCAATTGCTTATGGGGCTGAAAATTGAATTTTTGGTATTTTCATACGCAATATCAAGTAGAAATGTTGCAAGATTTTAGTGGTCATCAAGGAGATTGCCTTCAATTCGTCAATTCGTCTCCTCTCAGGCTGGAGAAATAAAAAAAATAGAAATAATCAAACTTCTGATCTGAATGATAAAAGCATGCAGCGCAGCGTCCACACACACATAGCAACAGTCACTTATTTTTATTAGAAAATGCATGTAAGAAGCCCAAAACAGTCTCTTTTAAGCCCTGCTTTTTTCAAGATTGGCTTATAGATAGTTTGCTTTTGAAAGCTTGTTGTGCTCAGGAGGCCATAATGGACGCCATACTTAATAATATCAAAATTTAGCCAGCTCCCAATTTCATGGTACTATGTGCATAGTCGTTTCAACTACATCGTCTATAACTATTCCAAAGTATTCTCTGAAAGTTTCATGCAAATATATTAGATTTATTTTGAAGGGAGAAAGTTCGAGCAAAAATTTTGAACCATTGCATTTGATGTATCACCAGTTAATCTCATTTCATCATTGGTATTTGAGGTGTATCAGTCTTCATCAACACATCTAGATTTCGAGAGAGCATCTGCGGGGCGATTATTGAAACTACGTCAGTGCGATAAGACAAGACATAGCCGTATCTCAACCATGCAATATATCGAATTTCGATGTCTTATCGCGCTGCTTTAAACTTTCAATAATCGGTCCGCACTCATGAAAAAATAACAGTATTCCTGCTTTGTGCTTCATTTCTCTTTCTCGTGAGTTTTCTGTGTTTCTTGCATTCAATGGCTGTAGATAGTTTACTTCATGAAAAGATTTTATTGTTCTGAATTACAGCACAACTCCACAATTACTAAATTCCAATTTCATATCTTTTTCTGATTTCAGATTTCAAGTGGTCTCCTGTGTATCATCGGCTTGTCCTTTGTTTTGAAAAGCCTGTGATTACTGTTTGGACCGAGGATAATGTTCAAAGCGTCTCCATCCCATTCCTCAGCAAGAAAGGAAACTTAAAGCTTAAAACCGTCGAATGGCAGCCGAGAAGCGGATCTTATTTTGCTCTTTGTTCAGATGCAGAAACTGTGTTGGTGAATTCTGCCATCTTTTGATTTGGTGAATTTATTCCTCAACTGAGCAGAGAAAGGTAAAGAAATGTGTAGTCATTGGTCATATTTTTAACTAACCAACTGCATGTTAATCAATTACATTTCTAACCGCCTGAAGAAAACTTGAAATATGTTGTTTTGTTTGTTTTTCTGAGTGAAGAAATTGGACTGTCGGAAAATGTATATTCTCGTTTGTTGCGATAGAACCATCAGAGACCATGATGGAGAGATGGATGTTTTTAAGTTTTTGAAAGTAGGACTGAGTTGAGTGTGTCGGAAGTGGACCTTTTTTGGGTCTTCGGTTTGCGTTTCAAACTGTTTTTGAGTTAAAGAAGAAAAAAATGAAATTAGACTTTTTGACTAAAAGCTACGTCCTAAGAGGTATTCTTCAGATACAGTCAAGAAAATTAAAAGTCAGAAATGTTGATTTTTTTGTGTTTTGTTTATCTACAAAATAGCAAAAAACTATATTTCAACAATAGGCACGAAAACACGAAAGTAAAAACAGTAAAAAAGTACTCTCATAACAGTATAACTGAGTAAAAAACTAACTTATTCTAGCAATTTCACAGATAGCTCTAGATTGGTGTTAATTGATATTCATTGTCTACTCACAATGATATCCATCCTAAGATTTCAAACCTAATTTAGGATGTAATATAAAAAATAAACTGTACTTGTCTAGAAAGCTCAGCAAAATTTAATCACTTCAGTGAAGCATTGCCCACTGTTTCTCAGAAACAATAATACCCATTTCAAACACAACAATTTGGAGCTGCACAGCTTTCACAATCATTGATAAGTTTGAGCGCACTGATGCCGCCAGTTGCAGCTCCTAGATGCCTCATGTGGAATAGGCTTACGGTAAATTCTCAAATTTTCTGTCCTTGCAAGTTGTTGAACAGTAATTTATTTCGTAATACATCTATCTTTAAAGTAATTGATTCTGAAATCACGAAGAACTCACATATTGAAAAATAAGTACTTGAAAATTTGTAAAAATAGACCAACAAGAAATTACTGGGAAAGATGGCAAATATATCAATGGAAAAACGTTCAAATTTTAAAAAGATGTGAAAAAAATCAGACAGTAAAACAATTTTTGCCTCTATATCTAAGTGAATTTTTTAAACAAATTAGGGAAGTTGTTGATCGTATTTCTTTTTGATAAAAAGCAATCAGTTTAAGGCCTCAGAAAGCTCTTTTAGAATAATTTGAGCATATTTCGTTGATTGTTCAAGACATGGTGAACAGCGTCTCAAAGTTTGCTTATACAACGGAATTATCTCTCTAGTTAAAGTTGGAATAATGGTTATGGTAGTGCACAAGGTAACAAGCTATCCATGTAGCCATTGATTTTTAACACTATCTTTAAGTCTCTTCTAAGTGCCATATCTGAAAGCACCTCAGAATTTCTAAAGATTTTTCACTTCAGATCTTTTTTTGGGCCTATAAATATCCTCAACTTCCTCGAGCGTTAAGCCTTCAGTCTCCGGTAGATATAAGTAGACGTAAACTAGTCCAAGTGCGCTAATAGTGCCAAATATGTAGTACGTTCCTGCAACTCCAAAAAGATTCAATGTGCTCAAGTACGTTTTTGCCGCAAAGAATGATGCTGCGTAGTATATAGCTGCGCAAAAACCGCTGGCAAATGAACGACCCCTGGAAAAAAATCAGAAAAATCAGATGAATTTCAGCTGCACCTACTGATGATATCTGTGATGTAGTATGACCGTGTTTGGCGTAAAATAGTACACTCAAGAGATTATTTTTTTTCCGAGATGAAGAAAAAAGCTTCACAACTTGTGTTGAAAGATATTATTTTCTGATTTTTCTTTCAATTTAATTTTTAAAAGGGGGATCAGAAACATGTTCACCTTTTTTATCCCAAGTCCTTAATTTCATAATTTCCAAGGACCATGGAAAGAATGCTTATGTCTATGGCAATTATAACTTTGAACAGCTTATTCCGTTTTGCATAATTTCTTCTCTTTATCAGTATCAACCGCGAGAGTAATAAATTGTAAAGTTTTTCACTTCAAAAGAATTATTATTCACAATTTTGATGCCTCTCAAATATCATATAGGAATGATGTGTACATAGCAAAAGGGACCTCATAACTTGTCCTTACGGGGAAAAAAAGTTGCAGAAGTAACATCCTGGATGACAAAAATCCTTTGCAACACCTCTTGAATGTTGTTATGTACACTCCGATTGGCAAAGTAACATCCTTGATGTTAAAAATCCTTTGCAACACCTCTTGAATGTTGTTATGTACACTCCGGCTGGCAAAGTAACATCCTAGCTACATTGAATTAACAACTGTAGCGTTCATATCAACATTCAAGAGTTGTCGTGCAGATTTTTAACATCCGAGATATAACTTCAGCAACTTTTTTTTTTGTACACCACTAAGTTTTAGTTTCTCCTCCATAGTTGTCTAACATTTTTTCAACCGGAATGAGCTGGTACAAATAAACCAGAAGAAAATTGGTCTTTCGAATGTACTAAACTTGGTTTAACAGCCCCAAATTTTAATGAATTTATCTGCGGTATTCCTGATCTGAATAAAAATTGAAATAGCAGTACTTAAAGTCAGACCCTTTTTTAGGCAACCAAAGTCCTTGCGCCAAGGTTATGAATGTGTTATAATTTTATTTTTCCCCTCTGAGTGGAGTGTTCAAATTTATTTTTCTATTCCCACAACCCCTTCTACTCTCCACAAAGCCCGGTGAGTTTGAACAACTTACCTAAATGGGAAAATTTCGCTCATAAGCATCCAAGGCACTGGACCAAGACCTATCACAGTTGCTAATGTCAAGATTTCGAAGTATGTGAACAGCAGCCAGTTGGAAAGGTCGCCAAACGTTTCATCAAAAAATCCCTGAAAACTCATATGAACCCCAATCGCTAGACCTGCCACTGCCGCTCCAAAAGATGAGATGAGGGTCATCCACCGTTTCCCAATAGTTTTGACGGCTACCATTTGTGCAATATGAATTAGGATGATTGAAGTTGATACAAACACCTAAAAAAGAGTTGTATTTTAGTAGTAGAATTTTTTTTCTTTTTGAAGAGCATTCCATTGAATCAGAAAATGTTTGTGATTTTGAATGGTGAATATTCTGATTCAGTGTATTGTCATTATTATTAAAAGAAAGCATATTTTTACAAGTAGGTTTGAAATTAATATCGGTTCAGTCAGTTCAGTGACAAAATAAAAACCTTGTGAATTGTATCAATTGCTGTACTGTAAAATGTTGTGAACAAAAAATGTTGCAAACTATGATGGTTTTTTTTCTTCAAAATTTAAAATCCTTAAGCTTTAGTCATGTCATTATGCTTTTTCCTGAGTTGTTAAGCAAAAATTTGTACTTATTTTCAACTCCTTGTGGTACGTTTATTTTCTCTCAGTTAATTTTTGGGAAAAGGAAACTTTGCTAAGAATTTCTTTACTTAAAGTTATTGTTGAATTATTGTAAAAATTGTGAAAAAATAACTTGAAGTCCTTACCGATGCCCAGTTTGGATCAATTGGGCTGTGAACCCTTTGGAACAGTAGCACCATGTACGTCTTAAAACCGGGAAATCCACTTGTGAAGTACAGGAAGTTGACAATAATGATGATGGACATAGGTTTCAAAATTTCCGGTCGCAAGAGATCTTTCACCTTTTCGTGAAGTTTGAGCTTAGCATAATCATCATCTCCAGTATTTGAGTCGCATGGAACGATTGGAGGTCGAGTACATCCACCACATGGTTGCTTAGCAGTAGAAATGAGGTCCATTTGCAGTTTCTTTTTATCATCATCGCTCTTGTATTTGGAGTTTTTGCTGTACTGGACAAGTTGAGCGAATTCTTCAGCCACCTCCTCCTTTGACACCCATCCTCGTAACCAGCAAAGTGCTTTCTCTGCTTCCTTCATTCTATTTTTAGACAGTAGCCACATTGGAGTCTCTGGAATCTAAAAAAAAGGCATGTAAATTAAAGCATTAATTGAAATGTCAAAATGTCCATCATGTATGACACACCCAGTAACATTGACCTGCCACTTCCCAAAAATTTCTTCCTTTAAGGAATTGAAAAGAAGGCTTTGACTCAGATTGAATCGGAAGTAAATTTTCCTTAAACTTTAAAATCCCCTTTTTTGACAAAAAACTCTTCTCTTTTAAATGGCTGACAAAATTCCATGTGCTCAGAACTCTTCAAAACCCTCCATGAGAGATTATAATCTTAAATTACTGTCTTGCATAAAATTTCAAGCAAGTTCCTTATCATATTATCTCAGTCATTCAGAGTTTGATGAGTAACTGGTCTATAATTTGGCTGAGTCGTGTAAGAAATAGATCAAATTATCATGTCAATTTAATGTAAAATTACTGAAAATGAGTAACAATTTTTTTAGTTTAAATAAGAGTTTATTTGTTTTCTGCTTTTTGCATGCCAGAAAAAAGATGTTTTACTTAATCTTGTCAACGCCTTCATTTTGTCTATATAAATAACTATTTCTGAAGCATTATTTGAAGCCAATATTCTTTGATTTGTAAATGGTAATCGATGCCTTTGTTCTAAAAAGCCTCTCAGCGGCCAAACTGCAGAACGACGTATCTTTGTTTGCGATGTTGCAATATATGTCTTACTTTGTATTCTTTGAAAAACTAGTCAAGGTAATATCTTAAAAACCTCCTTGAGTTTGTTTCTCTGTTGGCAGAAAATTCTGTATCCATTTCAAGTTGTTAAATTGGCTTGTGGCTGTTTGATAATTATAACAGGAGTGGGTTTTTAGGCCATTAAATCGTACTGTATATTTTTGTAATTCAAGTGTAATTCACTGTTTTTCCTTGACTTGTTGTATATATTAATGACACAATCTGTTTTTAAAATCTGCCAAATTTTTATTAAATATGTTTAAACCTAAGTGAATGGTCTCTTTGCTTATTATTCTGAAGTAAAGAAATATTACCTGAGATATGGCAAGGAATGCCAGAGTAGGAAAAAGCATACTGATGAAAGCGACGTGCCGCCAAGTGGTCAGAGAGCCGAGGAGACACTGGAGGAAGAATCCAACGGAACAAAACTGGAGGGAATAAGAAATCAAGACTCCTCTCAGGGATGGCTCACATATCTCTCCTACGTATGTGAAAATTGGCGCATCCATAAATCCAGCTCCTAAGACAAAATGAACATCATGAATTGTTGAAATAGGGGGGTGAAGAGTTATTGCACGGATTAAAAATATGGGTTTAATCCTAAAATGGTTTATAGTTAATGCTGTTCATCTTCGTTCACCCTGAAGACTTGGCTTGATTCTGCTTTACAGACCAACAGCCATGTCAGATAATTGTGATTATTTGATTTTTCCATCATAATTTTTACCAATGTATATTGGCTAGTTTTCCTTTTTATAAACAATTAAATAGAGTTGGAGATTATTTTTTTGTTGCGATTGCGATACGCATTTTTTGACAGCCATTAAGATCAAGATACATTGTTCAAAAATCTGTATTTTGATCGCTGTTTCCAAATCGCTCTTCATTTATTTATTTTTCATGGGAAACCAAACATCGATGGTGAAACTGCAAGAAAGTGCATCTTGGTTTGCGACATTTCAGACTTCCTGTCATGCTTTATTTTTAAAGGAAAAAATACCCAACGTCATTTTATAAATTTCCCTGATTTTTTTCTGTGTGTGATAAATATTCTGTGAAAATTTCAAGTAATAGCGTTGGTTCGTTCTCTGTTAGTAAAATAAAATTGGAGCAGAGATTTTAAAACACCACAAACGAATAGGTACGTGTTCCTGCAGTTCAACCATTGACATGTTTTTTTATGAGATTTCAAGAAAACTCCCAAAAATGAATTTCGCAATTAGTTTTTCCAGATTTTAGTGAGTACCTACCGACGAGTAGTATCCAACGTAGAAACTTGAGTAAATAAGGTGTTTTTGGTTTCAACATTGAAGCACAAAATTTTTAATCTTCAAATTATTTGAAAACAAGAGACATCGTAAACATCTTTCAAAGTCCAGTCCTTTTCTTTGTATTCAATACATCCTTTAGGAATCCCTAAATTAAGAGGGACAAGAGGTAGAGCTCGTTCCAGATGACACTGATGACTTTCGCTGAATGCGGTTTCCATACCATCTTGAAATGTTTTTCCTAGTGTTTTTTAAATTTATTTTTTCTTTTTGTTTTTATATCGGCACAGTGCATCTCTAATAATCAATATATCTTTTAAGAAAAATGTACAACTAGGTAGTTGGGTTGAAGAGAAAAAAATGATAGCTACCTAAACCCTGAATCGCTGCTGCAAGGTACATGATATTTACCGATGACGATGAGTACAACATGAGCCAACCAATTATCTGAGGGATATTTACCAGCATCAAAGATCTCTTCCTGCCCAAAGGTGCTGAAATAAGCCCAGAGAGTGCACTTCCGAGCGGCTGAAACACCATGGGTATGCTAGCTGAAAAGGAGGCAGAGGATATATTGTTAGGCACCGATGTCATAAACGGAAATCACATGCTACATTATTATGCACTACTGTTTCCACTGCACGTGCGCCTTCAATGTCAGGCGACGGCAACACGGCATACATGTTCAAATAGTCATTTACTTCATAAGCGTTGCGTTTGTCCTCATCGTTAGCGGATCGTTTGGATCCTGTTCAAGCATATTTGGACCGCGTTAAACAGAAAGGAACCAAGCCACATCAGCTATTGCCAAATTTAATTGGGCGAATTAATTTTTTACATGAAAACGGTTGGGCGGATTTTGGTTCAAATTTCAGTGAATTTTCTCCATAATACGAAGCAAATTCCTTAAAATTTTCAAAGGAATCCTTACAAACGTTCTCTCGTAAAAAATTGACTTGCCCAGTTAAATTTGGCAATAGCTGATGTGGCTTGGTTCCTTTCTGTCAAACGCGGTCCATTTTTCTTTCGATTTTTAGTATCCATCGTTCACACAGGTAAAGGTATCTTTGTCAACAGAGGTAAAATTTTCGATTGAGAATTTTTGTCGAGTTTTTTGTTAAATTATAGAATTTGGAGACCTAGACGAATACGTTTTCTGTAGTATCTACAAGCATAGGTGGATACAAGGAGGGGGAACGTAGGTCACGAAAAAAGGAAGGAAGAGAGAAAAAATGAAACAGAGGTAAGAAGAAGGAAAAACGCTTATATTTGGTAGTTATTCATGACAAAATCAACTGAAACTGAATATAAAATGCTTCAAAATTCCGAAACTTCTTACACCCCC